GAAGAAAATACCACCAATTGTTCCAGCGACAATTCATTCACCGCGACGGAACGATAAAAGGGACGAATCCTTGTTCAAGTGTCAAAAGAAACTGGATGGAAAACAGAATTACCTTATCCTTTATTAATTTCTTTTCATTCTTTTTCGGATGAAAGAACCATTGTATCCCCGACAGATCTGACAATTTTGAGCTTGGCCAGTACACGCCAGACGTGAAGAAGAAATCACGGCTGAAAACGCATCTGATTGAAGAATCGTTTCTTTTGTATCGGTTCCCTCTCTCCCTTTTATCGTCCGCCCTCTTTCATCCGTCTTTCGTCCACTTGAAGCTTGATCGAATTTCGCCCTCCTTTTCATCCTCTTTTTCCCCAATTTTCTTTTCATATCGGTTGTATAGACGTTAAAAAAAGGCGAGACGCTCATTCTGTCCCCCCTCTCCGTAGCCATGAATAAAAAAACGATCGTGGGATTTACGATTGTCGAATTTTTATCGTTCCAAAGGCGTTCCACCGATTCTACTCTTTCGATAATTTAACTCGTTCTTTCTTCGTTGTTGTCCATTGTTGCTTAAATAACGAGAGAATAATAGGGACTTTTTTCTAGGAACATTTGTTTTTTTGGAGGGAATATTGTTTAGAATTGTTCAATTTTTGAACGAAATTCTCTTCACCTATCCTGTCATGCTACGTTTATCAATGATCCCACGCGAAATTTTGATTTTCATTTCAAGCTTCGTTTCAACATTTCTTTACACAAATTACATTCAATATCCTCAAGACATCGATAAGATCAAAGAAAAAGTCTCGATTTTCCAATTTCCAACGAGTTCGTAGGAAGAATCTCATAGGGGGAAAAAAAAAAAACGTGACTCGTTCATAGTCCCCCATCCTCGATCCGAAAAATGGAGCTTCCTAGGGAAATTTGCATCATTACCATCGATCTCCCTGCGGAGGATCGAACGGAAAGAATTTTCGCAAAAATGTTATACGTGCTTCCTTACAGTCCATTACCTCCGCTTGGAAGTATTCCATCGCGTTCTTTTGCCACTGTCAAAAATGTAAATGTCTCCCGGCTGGCTTTTCCCCTAGACGGCGAACAGCCGGTATTCAGGAAACGAATTTTAAAATGGCCGCCACGCGTGGAAGCTCGATCGGTAATGACGACGAAAGTTGTCGATGAAACGGAATAGCGGTAGCCAGCACGATTGCACCGTGCCTCGAGTTGCATCCTAAATGCGCCTCGTTCAGGAGTGGGCTGCAAATCGTGGTTACGAACTGACGTGCACTTAGACCGGGACTATTGCCGGGACGGTGGAAGTATTTTACACGTGCTTTACGCGTAATTTGGTCCTGGAGTAAACTAAACAAAACTGATACCGAATTACGGGTAAAGCACCCGTAAAATACTTCCTCTCCTGGACTCTTGGTATGCCACTGTACACGTGATTCTTCCGATCGATAATCTTTTCGGAACACGGGCGAATTTTGTTTATTACAGTAAAAGTAAAAGTTCTGTAATAAAATTCTTTTCGATTTTTTTTTTTTTTTGATTTACGTATACGTTTTTAGGATGTTAGAGATTTTGCTTCGTCTCTGTAAATTTTTGTAATTCTAATTGAAAGAAAATTCATAAGAATAGATTTATCTACGAAGAATTCGTCTTGAGGAAAATTTAAAATATAAAAGTTGTATTTAAATTTGTGAAGATTGGTTATTCGATGAAGTTATTTATAAAAAGTAAGTATGAAGTGATAGTTTGAACGTGACAGAGGAAACTATTGAAAACTTGCAAAGATTTTAGTCGGGCAGTTGAACTTAGCATTACATGCTACATAATTACATTGAATTATAAGGAGAATATCGAATTGGATTGCACATTACAAGGATTCTCTGCTGAACAGAGAACTGGCTCGAAACTTGTAATCTCTACGTAACAGATGTAACAACGTTCAATAAACACTGATGCATCAATATTTGCTGCTTGGCTGATCGGTTGTACTACATTCAAGTAGCATAGATTTATCTTGTCGCATCCCCCGAAACGTCTTCAAATTCAATTTGTGTTATGTCTGACAATTCACGCGTTTTATTTACACTATTCGCGCTGACATAAAAGTTATTGAACGAAAGGAAAATAAATAACTATGATTTTTATTACACACACACACACACACGCGCGCACGCACGCACGCAATTTTAAATTGCATCGAATTTTCTTCCAACATTTAACATTTCTTAGGCAATATTATTCGATCTTAAACACACGTTCTTCTTAAAAAAGAAAAGTCTGGTTTGAAATCGATCTTTTCTTCACTCTTTTGGGGAAAAAAATTCGAATCGTTCGATTATTTATCGCGCTAACGTTTGCTCGAATCTCGGACTGGCATGTGGCCCACGTTATCGTTTGTGAAAGCCATCTCTAACGAGCTTGATAATCCTATCCTAACTGTAATCAGCACCAAGTTGTCGCCAATCAGCCGTTATCAAACAACCTATGAATACTCATGTCTCTACCACCACATCGCGGCCCCTCTTGGCTTGCGCCGCACATGGTTTGTTTAATCACAACCATTTCTGGTTCTCGGGTTTAACACCTAACGATTCGTTTCATAGAGAGGAACAATCTTCACAACGGCTATTCCAACGTCCGAGATTTTTTTTTTTTTATCTTGAATTTCTATTCACTTTCGTTCCAATGAAAATGAAGATTCGTCGGGGAGAAAGATAATGAGTTATTTCACTTTTGGGGAAAAAAGGTATTAGAATTAATTCTTACTATTTACGTATAAAAAGGAAAAAATGATCCTGAAATATAAAAGAAATTATTATATAATTCTTATATTTTGGAATATAATTTTGGAAAAAATATTGGAATTAATTCTAACCCTTATACATAAAAAGAATGATTTTAAAATATAAAAAAATTAAACGTTTCCGTTTCGAATCGTTGGAAAGTGAAAAATTGGTTCGTTTTAACGCCACGTTGGGCTGTTTTTGATCGGTTCGCTGCTTTAACAAGTGTTATATAAAAGAGAGTCAGAGAGAGAGAGAGAGAGAATGAAGAAAAAAATATGATGAAAAAATACAAAAACGTAGAAGAAAAATGCGCGTGTAAAAATGTTCCTCACCGCATGTCCCTCCTCCCCCCCCTATTTCTCTCTCTGATTAAATCGCAAGGATACTCGTCCAAGTTGAAATTTATAACGCGTGAAATTGCCGTGTTTCGTTGTCGTTACACGAGCGCAGTCGTGGAAGCAGCGGCGGTGGACTGATAAATCGGACGTTTCTTTAGCCACGCGCGATATTTATCGTTCCCAAAGGGACGGATCGACGAATCTCCGTGGAATTTTTGCCCCCTCCCATATTTAAACGTCTCGAGCTTACGACTGATTCGTTTTCTTCTTCGACAACGAGTCCACGTTTCTCACTTCCTGTCTAATTTTTAAGCGTTTACGTTCTTTCATTCGATTCCATTTATTCATTTCTCTCGTGTTCTATTTTCATTCGAATTACTCGACGTGTGCCATACTCGTATATTTACGCGCGAATTGGATCGCGATCGCTGCCTCGATTCTCGTTTTGTTTATCTCCCCTTCTTAAACCGCGTGCCGCGACATTGTGAGCTCAGTCGAAGGAAGGCCTCGCCACGATTCACATCTATATAACGTAATTTATTATTTCCTTCGTTAATATATATAATATGTATAATATTCTTTATTAATATAATATAAATAATATGAATAAAATTCAATTATTTATATAATTATATAATTATTTATATTATTATATTATTCATATTGTATTATTATTTATATATAATTACAATATACGTTTACAATACATATATTGTATACAATACATATAATTACAATTACATAAACGATATAAAAAAATTCAATTATCAAAATCATTATTAAATTCTCATTTTTACACTTTTCATTTTTTAAAAATTCAAACAACAAATTTGTTTGAAATATAGTATAATCTTCGTGTTTTTAAATTGTTCTCTCTTGTTCCGCATCTTTTATTTTTTTTTTTCTTCTTACTTTCGAATTGACAAACACGAGTGACGCGGGAATTAATAATAAAATATTAATGAATAAAAAATATACATTCTTTACATTTCGTATTGTTTTCACGCAGACGATCATTTACACCAATTCTCAATTGTCAATTTTGAATATCCGATACAAGTTTCGATATGCGAGAAAATGCTCGATCAAGTGGATTTGTTGGCGGCAAACTTTCGTAGACGATTCGATTCGAGGAGGAGAAAACAACAAGGCAAATCCGCGTTATTTATTCGAAATCGATTCGCGATTGTTCCACACCGTCCAGAAAATCACATTTTTAAACGCGTTCGCGATTCATCCCCGCATTTTATTTTCGCTCATTTCCCCTTCGAATCCTGGAAATCCAATTGAAAAAAAAATTGACCACGTGCTTCCTTTTTTTTTTTTTTTTACAGGGAAACGAGCTCGAAATTATTCCGTTCGTGTAAACTGGTCCGAACTGATGCGGCGAGAAAGTTTTGCAATTTAAATTTTAACGAAACAAATGAAAGATTGAAAGAAGAACGAAGAGATATCAGGTCGATTAGAAAATTCCTATCTTTCTTCCTTTTCATCGCACGCACATCAATTTAAGAATCATTATCATTATTCAAATCGCTAATAAAACATTCTAATTTCTAAACGGAATAGAATGAAGTATAAAAGTCTTTATTAAAAAAATTCAAAGGAATACATCACCGGAACAAATGTCGAGCAAAGTAAATGCAATCGAATCGATTTCCAAAAAAGAAAAGAAAGATAGTCATCTCGCCGAAAGAAATAACGTGCGTAAATAAGCTGCGTGGTTGAACAGCAGTTGCAAAACTTTGGAAAACCGTTAGGGACAAATTCGCTTTGTGAACGGGGCAAGTTTAGGCGGAGCTGGGCCGAGTCGGTCATCTTCCGCCGCTTTGTGCGGGCAAACAAGGAATTACACGAGCGGGCAAAGGGTGGAGGAAACGAGGTTGGAAATCGCGAGACCTCTCTCGAGGTCGTGCCTTTTCCGCCCCCGGAAATTCGACCCCTTATTCTCGTACCTCGTTTACCATGCGCCGTTTCCCTCAAACAGCGGCAAATCTCCCTCGAGGCCGTGCGCGGAGGAGATTCGAATCGAAATTTCTACCGTTTCGGGACAATTTTATGGATTTCCTTTTTTTAAATCCAAGCCAACGCTTTGGTACAAGTTTTTGAGAAGTTTCGTTCGAGGAAGAATTTTTTCCGGTGGAAATTCTTTCGAGAGATGGTTCGATAGAAGAATTTCTTTTTTTTCACGTTTCGTTGGAATATTTTTTTGTTTTTTCTCGCGATAAAGAATATGTCTAAAAAGGTGTTGGAATTGTAGGAGAACTTGTACAAAGCGAGATATCGATTTGACAGTTAGTTTATTGGTAGCCAATACCATCTTGTTGAACGGTATTGAAATTTTTATACCCGAGTCACGAACGAAATCCTATCTCTTCTTCGACATGTCGATTCGGTGATATTGTTTATACTGGTCGGGATCACGATGTGTGTAAAAGCACGAGCGTACAAATCGTGGACGGTTTTAAAGGGTAAATGGACCGGCCATATCATAGTTTTATCGAGGAGGAATCCGAGGGATTCGTATCCAAAGCACGTATCTCGTTGAAGAAATTGGGCTCCCAACATGTTTGGCTTGAGACGAAGAGGAAGATCTACTCGTGTTAATAAAATGGAAACGGGGCTGATTCTCGAACGAACCGAGCAAGAAGGATATTTTTGCAACTTTTCGATGATGGTCGCGCAGGAAACGAGTAGCAAGGATTCAACGAGACAAAGTTTCGTCTATGAATTTATTTACATATTTTCAAGAGGACAAAATAGCGAGGAAATTTCTTCTTTCGAGGATATGATGCGAATCCTCGAGATTTTTATCATTGAAGATATAAGATGCTGCTGTTGTATATCTCTTCTCAAATAACGTAATCATCTTTTCAGAAATCGTTTATAAATTAACAAATGTTCCACTGAAACTTCAAATTTTCCATCATAGATATCTATTACCTTCACGAGTTCATTTTCACTTTTAGTTCTACCCTAAGGGACATCTTAGAAAAAATTTAAATAGTAAATAGAATTTTAGAAGCACAGAAAAACGAAAAATAGATGACGAAACGTTTAATTCCCAGGGGATTGTAGTAGAGCTGAACTGCCAGCGACAGAGACTTCGAACCGATCCAATCAATACAACACTATCGATCGTTTTATCGTCGAATTTGTCGAAGAATTTCTCCTTGGTGGAATATTTTTTCCGAAATGTCTAAACCCAAGCGCTATTTATGAATACTCGACGGGGACGTTTTCGAAGCGTGTCTCCTCTTCCCTCCTCGACGACTGTCGATTCAATCGACTTTATCGCAGTTGTTCTTTTGCGGGTATCGCTCGGGCGGAAAATGGAAATTCGAATTTTTCTTCGACGATTCTCTACAGGGAGACGGCCGTGATTTATAGGGAATATTTCAGAATGGGCTAACGAAGTGTAAAGCTCCCCCCTCCCCTCCTTCCATCGACAGTTGGTGTCGATGCAAGATGCATCGAGGTTATCGTGAGTTTTGGCGATTGCCGATGATTTCATTTACCTCGAACAAATTTCGAGCCCGTGATATTATTACACACTGTTTAGCTATAGGCAGACGTAAAACGAGCTGAAATTATACCTGATATTATTAATGCTTCCTCCAAAAGGTGTTGTAATCGACGTATTGATTCGCGCAAACGTTTAATAACCGACGGTTACCAATTAATCCGAAGAATTGTACCTGGGATACTATCATGAGGCGATGATATCATATTCTGATCTTGTATCAACGCGTTAATTATCCCTTATAATCGGTTTCATTGAAAATATTTAACAAGGATTGAAAATTTAAAAAAAAAAAAAAATAAATGTATTTTATTGTCTCGCGCGATGTTAATTATTGTTTTTCTTCTTCTTCTTTTTTACAATTATCGAAAATCGATAAATATCCAACGTTTCGTTCCAGGATAAATTCAAAAGATCTCTTAGATCGATTTTTTTCTTAAGATTAAAATCAAATATAGTACGCTAAAATCATTGCAAATTTATATATTTGTATATATTTTAACTTTATATTATTTTCAAAAATAGGGAAAAAATAATACTCCAAACTCACGATTAATTATACAATATGCAAATCTTCGATATCTCTACTCGTACTCTAACTTTATAGATTTTTGGAAATAACATGAGCGTCCATTGTTCAATTTCTACGAATCGAAAAAATCCTGATTTTTCGATCTCTTTAAGAAGAAAGACTTTTCGGGATTCCTCAATTTCACTTGCGAATCTGAATTAACCATATGCGCGATATGCGTGTTATCCTCTGTGTATTATCCACGAGACGAGAAATGAGACGAGCGCAAATAAGTTGGGGGAGTTGATTGAGATGCGCGCGGTTACTGGGTCGGATCCATGATCCAGAATTAGAAGAGTTCGAATGCTCGAATCGATATCGTCAATCGCGACGATCGATGATCCTCCCTAGAAGGTCTTTTAGAAGTCGAAATTTTCCTCTGGGAGAAGGTGGAAGGTCCTTGAAGACGTTTTCAAAGGAAATATTTGCGTGGAAAACATTTCTTATATATTTGCCTCAACTTGCCTCGTTGGACATTAATTGAAATTACGTTGTAAATTCGGAAATAAACGTGCAAGTATAGGGATGAAAAATAGAGAGAGAGAGAGAGAGAGAGATTAAATTTTAAAAGGTTATTGAAATATTAAGAAATGGTAAGTCGAAATTTTTTCCCCTTTAGATTTTTCTTTCCAAGTTTTTTCCTTAAAGTTTATACATCCCCTCTTGAAGGGAGGATTCGAAGGAAATATTTATAGAAGAATCGATGGGGAAGGAACAGGACAGATTAAATTGATTTTCCTTTTTTTTTTTTTTGAAAAAAAAGCTTGATCAATGTATATATTATGCGAGCTTTTCTTTTTTCATTCATTTTCAACTTTCCTAGAGAATTTTGAAGAAAAACAGGGAATTATTTTTATTTTGCCCGATTTATCTTCTCGAGAAATATATTCAATCCAATTATACTTTCTCGCGCCCTCTAAGTCAAAGCCAATCGATTTCTCTCTTCATTTCTTAACCCTGTGGCTTCTTCTTCGTTGACGCAAGTGTCGAAAATACACACGCGAACTCGTGCATCCTCGATATCATCGATATTTTCGTATAAGGAAGTCACGTGTTAACTGGTTGACCGCCATGGAGGTCATCGGTGATCACCGAATTAGAATCACAGTCGATGACGCTTTGGGGGTCATGATCGATGATGATCGATGAAAAATAAATAAATGAATAGTTACACTTAGTTACATTTTAAAATAATAATTTTTTAATTATTCGATTTCTTTATTCCCGATATTTAAAAAAAAAATCTCGTTTTAAGAAAAATCTTTAAAAAACAGATAAATTACAAATAAATGCTCAGTTTCCAAAAAATGTTATAAATTTATAACCTTAGAAAAAGCAACAAGTTAGAGAAATGGATGGAAAACTGATTGTTCCACGAAAATTATTTGAATGGTAACATTGAACGAAGGTTAATTTCTCACTTAAATTTCCTTCAATCATCGTTCTGTCAGCTTTCGAACGAGATTCGTATAATTTTCTCATCGGTCGCTTTATTTGAATTTGAAATTCGCCTAGGGGCATAGCCGGCCATCTCCTTTTCGTTGAATATAGTATTCGATTCGGGTGGAATCGGGCGGAATCGGATGGAATCGGACGGGTATGCACGGGTATTCGTGTTTTCGCATACAAACGATAACGCGCGTTCCCTTGATTATCGCCTCTATCCGATTTACCAGCCAATCATAAACCCCGCCCGTTTGAATGGCGGTTGATTTGAAAGGCGATCGAGTCAATCATAAATTAAGTTGTCCCTAGGAGGACGGCACTTTAATAATCCTGATTAGAAGACTCGATAGGGATGTACTGGATGTGACGTCTGAAGAGGGACGTTTGAAAGGCTCTATCATCTTTGAAAGGGGGAGGAAAAAATTGTGTCGATGACGAAGAGCGAGAAAATAACACGTTCGAGAACGTGTCGAGGATTTTAAAATTCGAAGCATCTTCAGATCGAGGAAAAATATTGTAATTGCGTAAAAAGAAATTTTCAATTTTCTAATTTTCCAAATTTTAGCAATTTTTCCAAAAATTTTCAAAATCTTCCATCGCATGTTTCGATTTTTAATATTCTTCATAAATTGGATCTTAGTGTTTTTTTTTTAATATCGACATCTCTGAAGCGAAAACGTATTTACAGTTTATATAAATTACAGGAACCAAAATTTATGTCTTACGATACGAATTTAATCGCATTAAACTAATGCACCGATATTACTATATTATTCTATCATAACGTTTTAACCAGACTGATTATCCCTTTAATACTCTCGTAACAACATATATACTGGCCTGTTATGAGGCCGTTTTGCCAAAGGTGGGCCGCAGAGTTAACGTCAACCTGTTCGCAATCCATATTTCGTACATGTTCGATGGTAATTGCACACCTGTCGTGTTGTGCCGCAAACATGATTGTCCAGACCGCATGGCAAAGGACACTGGTAAACGTGGCGATCGTAATAACGTTGAATTTGAAATTATGATGCAAATTGATAAAAAAATTATGATATTCTGATTCACCGAAGAAGAAAGGAAATTAAAATTATACAGATCGAAGAATGTTATATATTTGTTGTTATGGAAAAATTTCCTACTCGATTTCAAATTAATTTCGAAATTAATTAATCAAGATCTAACAGATAATTCATTTCAATTGTGCAATCTTGTATTGATCTTTGTTACAATTTTGGAATTAAAAATTTTATTTCCTCCCCACAGCTTTTACACCTGTGCTTTTGTATATTTGAAGCTTTCGATTCTATCTATAGACGCCGTTTCATTGCCAATAAAAATAGAGAACGTTCCATTCAGCATGGAAATTTAGATACTTGGGTATTTGCGAATTTTCAAATTTTCAAGCTTTCAAGTTTTTATAACCTGCTCGTAAATTCCAAGTTTTTAAATTTTC